TGTCCTCTTCAACTTAGACCTCTATCTAGGTCTTCACATCCACACTGTCTAAATCTTGCAATTTTTTTCTGTATAACATTTCTAAGAAACAGCCGCTCACTTCTATTCAGAAAGCTACAACTTGTGTGCAAGCTCTCATCTTATGTAGCAAGATATTACATTGTTCTTTCTGACCTTGATAAATGCCACTCTATCCTTCCCCACATAATATCTATTTTGAATGCTGCCAAAAAGATCAGTTTTCTAGTCCACTGCTTTGATCATAGAATCATAGAACTGGAAGCAACCTGGAAAGGTCAACTAGTTTAGTCCCTTGCATTCATGGCAGGACTAAGTACTATCTAGAACAGAGGTCGGCAACCTTTTCAAACCAGAGTGCCAAACTACATCAAAATTTAGAACAAGTGGTCAACAAAGAGCCATATAAGAATGCCTATTTGCATGACCAAAAATATACATGGCAATATTATAAATAATTGACATAATGATTAATAATAGTATAAATGAAACGTACTCACAGACTTTATTTAATGGGACGTCTGCTGCTGCAGAAATTTCCACAAATTTCTTTAAAGTTTATATCATAACTGGTCAAATCCAATTTCATGCAAGGCTTCAGGCTATCTTCTGTCAATCTTACGGTAGGGGGCTGATGATGTGGGGGTGCAGGAGTCTGGGTTGGGGCATACAAGGGGCTCAGGGAAGGAGACTAGGGTGTATGATGGACTCAGAGCACAAGGTTGGTGTGTGTGGAGGTGCAGGAGTGTTATGATGCTGTGGCCAGATTGAGGTTGGGCCCCAATTGGGGGCTTTTTGGCCAGGCTTCATTTTTAAATAAAGTAACATATTATGTCCAACACAAAAGGTTTCAACATTGTCTTGATTTATGGCAGGAGTGGGGAACCTTTTTTGTGTGGGAGCCACTGACCCACAGAAACATGAGTCAGGGACCACACAAATGAGAAGCATAGTAGGGGGAGGGGCAGGAAGGACCTTGAGGTTCAAGGCCTCAGGCCAGATTTACTCTTCTGAGGTTCCAGGGTTAGTGGATTTGTGGGCTTCCCTAGGCTCTGGGGTGGGGCCAACAATGAGGGTTAAGTGTGCAGGACACGGCTGCCAGAGAATAGGATAGAGACGGGAGTGCAGGATCTGGGTAGGAGGTGGTAGGGTATAGGAGGGGGCGAAGTCTGGCCAAGGAGCAGGCTGTCTGGCCAGGGGGCAGGAGCAGGCTGGGGGCTGGCTGCCTGGCCAGGGCATCCCTGGGCAGCAG